AGGGCAAGGCCTGCCAGAGCCATGTTTGCCATGCTTGGGCTGGCCAGAGTCCCTTCACATAGTATTCCATTTGGGGGGCGAGGAGGAGGTGACAAAAGTCACTAAAAGCTATTGTCACTGTCCTGGGGTCCTTTGAATAGGGATACGACAGACACCCACAGGCAGCCCTTTGGGATTTGAGTGAAATCAAGGGGCAGCTAAGAATGAATTCCAGCCTGGAAGGTCCACTGAGTTTCTGAGCAAAAGCTAGAAATAGCTTCTCTGTTCGTTTGATGAGCAGCCAAACACAAGAGTGGCAGATTGGGGTGATGTGGTCAAACTGGGGTTGGCAAACTCTGTGTGTATGGGGGGGGGGGGGAGAGGCCAGTCCTGAGGGATCATCAAGGAGCAGTCATTCAAACCAAGGGCCTCTGAGGTCTGAATGGGCAGCTTCTCTCTCCAACTTCTTTTTCAGAAGGGTTGGGAGCCAGGAACATTAGGTGTTGGGGTGGCTTTTCAAGGCTTGTGGTTCTGTGGGGGAAGATCAGGCGAGGCTATGGGCAGGGTTTGGTTGGCAAGTTGGGAAGGGAGAGTGACAATATGAGGAGGTCTCTGGGATTCTCACAAGACTTATTATAGTCGGTTTTGGATTTGAAGATTACTTGTGATCTAAAAATACACCCCCAACTGCAGTATTCTTAGCTCCACAGTTCTCTGTAATATGCATTGTTCCTGGCTGAATTACATCTGAGAGATGTCTTTTCTCTAATGTACTTCTGAAACGTGGCTCATTTATGCAATTAAGCAACAGCACACCGAGAACTTAGAAAGAACCGAGGCTTCGCTTAGGGTGTGAAGACCACCGCTCACAACTCCCCGCAACCATTATGATTGCGTATCTAAAGACCCACTCAGCATGTTCATTACTTGGGTGCCTCTTGGACATTTAAACCTCAATGTTCCTGACACCAAACTGTTGACACCACTCTCCCACCAAACCCTCCTCTTTTTCCAGATGTTGTCATCTTAAGACGTGGCACCACCATCCACCACCCATAGGCTCTAGCCAAATCTTGAGAGGCAACCCTGACATTTCGTTTGACTTCCCACCCGAGTCTAACCCAACAGAGAGTTCTGCTGACCCTTTCTTCAGGATGACTCTCAAAACTATGCCACTCTCCATCTTCCCTGCCAGAGGTGGAGCCCAGCTGCCATCGTCACTTTCTAGGGCTGGCTTATCAGTCAGAATCAGCTATGGAAGTACATGACATCATGTCACTCATCTGACTCAAGTCCTTCCGCGGCTCCCTCTGGCATTGAGAAGGACAGTCAACCTCCTTGCTTTGGCCTGCGGAGTCCTGCATGACTTGTTTGCTCCTACTTTCCAGAGCTCGCTCCACCCCCGTTCTCTGTCCTCTGGACATGCTGAGTGTGGTTTGTACAAGCACTCTGCTGTTCTCAGTCCTGGGCCTTTGCACTGCTGCACCTTCTGCTTTCTCCCTGTGTCCTTCACCCCTGAGCTTGATCTCCCCCCATCTCTTCCTCCATTTGTAATTGCGTATTCCTTTGTACACTCTTTTATTTATTGTCTGTCTCCAACCGGGGTCGGAAGTGTGTCTCTTCTGGCATGGCTTTATCACTGACTGCCAGCTTCTAGCGAGCTCCCAGTTGGTGCTGACTGGTGGTTGAATGGAGGGGCGTGAAACGGACACAGTTCTGAGCTTGAAGCATGGGCAGTAATGTAAGGTACAGCCCGTTGGGCCTCAGAGAAAGGCACAGGAGTCACACCACTTCATGAACTGCAGGACTGGGCATTCATATCACCAGGCCTCCCTGGCACAAATGTCCATCCGAACGAGGACATTTACATTTTCACAAACTCTTACTAGTTCCTGGAAACAGATTGTGTCTCTCTGATTGTCTATTACGTTCTTTTTTTTTTTTTTTTCCAAACTGCTGAAGATCCTGGAACCAAACCAAAGTAATCTGCATTTCCATTTTTATGTCTTAATTTATAAACTGTGCCTTATAATTTACAAGCACCCACTTAGTGTCTCTACCAGAGCCTCAACAAACAACAGCTCTGCCAGCCCCACTCCTCCATTCTTCCCCTGCACTCTGCCCGGGATGGGCTGCCGCTGGCTCTAGCATGGCGTGGTGGTTTGAATGAGAATGGCTCCCATAGGCTTATAAATTTGAATGCTTGGTGGAACTGTTTGGGAAGGATTAGGAGGTGTGGCCATGTTGAAGAAGTGTCCCTGAGGGTGGGCTTTGAGATTTCAAGACCCACCCCATTTCCCAAAATTAGCACCCTCTCTCTGCCTCCTACTTGCATATCAGGATGTAAGCTCTCAGCTGCTGCTCCAGCACCATGCCTGCCTGCCTGCCTGATGCCACACTCCCTGCCGTGATGGTCTTAAACTCACCCTCTGAAATTTTAAGCACCCAATAAACTCTTCTATAAGCTGCCTTGGTCATGGTGTCTCTTCATAGTAGTAGAATAGGAGCTAAGATCCTTGGAGGCGTTAATAACAGTGATAGTGATGATTAGCCTTGTGCTACATACAGGTGAGAAAAAAAAATCTGGTGATGGAGAAAACATACGGGTGAAGGCTGCCTGTAAGAGAAGGGGCCAGGCCTAGACATGTGCCTCTACATTTGCTCATGCCTGTGGCCCTTTCAAGATCAGGGTACAGTGCTGTTGGGGGTGGGGTCACTTTTTGTGCAGCCCTGGCATCTGCTCCCCTCCTCAGACCCCCAGCAGCCAGTTCTGGAGCATAACCTTTCTGGCTGGGTCCTTGGTAAGCTTGGGTAAGTGGAAAATGCCTCTGAGCTCAGCTTTCCCACCCAGAAAATGGAAAGATCCTTTCGCCAAGGTGTGTGTGTGTGTGTGTGTGTGTGTGTGTGTGTGTGTGTGTGTGTGTGAGAGAGAGAGAGAGAGAGAGAGAGAGAGAGAGAGAGAGAGAGAGAGAGAGAGAGAGACTGATGATGAGCAGTTCACATCGCTGCTAGTTGTTGGATACATGGTGACTCCAGTGACTTCTCGGATGGTTACTGTTGAGTGTTAATTTGACAGATCTGGAATCACCAAGGAGACACGCCTTCAATCACACCTTTGAGGGATTATTTGGATTAGATTAGCCTCTTGGTATGCCTGTGCAGGATAATCTTGATTAGGTGAACCAAAGCAGGCAGATCCACCAAGATATAAGGTGGTGCCATTTCCTAGGTTTGGGTCTTGGACTGGGTAAAAAAAATAAGGAAGCCAGCCGTGAATGGGCATCCATCGTTCTCCACTTCGTGGCGTCAGAGGCAATGTGATCAGATGCCTGAGCCCCCTACTACCAGAACTTCCTTGACATGATGGACTACCCTTGGATGTGAGCCCAAATAAATGCTTTCTCCCTTAAACTTGTTTTTGCCAGGGTATTTTACCATAGCAACAAGAAAAGTAACTGAGACAGTGTCTAACTCCTCCCACCAAGTCCCCTACTAACAGCCCACTTTCCATTCCTGAGCCCTTTGGCCGGTCTACACATCCATGGAACCCTGGGAAAGTTCTCCCTTTGGGCTATCTGCCCAGCTTGACTGAAGTTCCCTGCTCACAGGGACTGTGTCTCTCTTCTTTCCCATGGTGGACAGTTCGGTATTTCCCTTGTGAATGGTGCTAAAATGACTCAGGAATAAGCGACAGTATTGATGATCTTCTGCATTGGCTGTGCCTGTTTCAGGCGCATGCTAACTAACATCAGAAGGGTTTGCCTAGGTTCCCAGCCTGCCGGGCAGGTCCCAGCTCTGAGCAGTTGCAGCCGTGGGGGTGGGGGAATCTACAACGTTTCGTTCTGCTTTGGCCTTTTCCTCCGTTTCCCCCAGCAGCACAGTGCCTTATGATAACATTCAAATTCCTCGAGACAGATTCCAGAGTAGAAAAGAGGTTCCCTGGGGTCGGTTACAACTTCCCATCTCAGGCTCCAGTCTTCCTTTTTGGCGCTGTTACACCAGACCGACTGCTACCGAGGCCTTCTGGGCTTCAGTTTTCTCCTCGGTAAATTCTGGAGGGTGAATAGGATCTGCTAAGGGTTAGGAGATGAAAGGCGCAGTGCTTGGTGTATCAAACTCTATCTCTCTTTACAATCCATGTCCCTATCATTTAATCCGGGGGATGGGGCGTAGGCTACGGTGCTGAGCCAGGGGAAACTTTTGCAGGATCTCCTCCCCCCCGCCCCCTCCCAAGGCCCAGCGTGGCAGGAGATGCCAGGCTGTAGCTGTTTTGCGATTCTACTTTCCTTGGGCAATGGAAAGTGGCAGGCTTCAGTGAGCTCAGGTGCGGTGGAGACTTAGACCCCACAGTCACGTGGACTGCCAGCCAAGGCTGCCCAGCCGAGCCCCTTTGCCACATTCACTTAGGTCCTCTTCAAAAATCAATGAAGTATGCTCAAAGGTCTGGCCTCTTCCGAGCACTCAGGGCAGAGACCCCTCTCCCAGGTCAAGCTAGTTCTCCCCACCCCTACTTTTCTGAGGGGTATGGGGCCTCCAGTCCTTTCTGCTCCTACTTTTTTCCCCCCGGGGAATCAAGCTCACAGTTTGACCCCGCAGAAAGGAGTCCAGTGTCCCTGAAATTCTTTGCAGCCGGCAGGAGGATTGCGGGTCCCGGCTCCTGTTAGGCTCAGCGGGGATCCCAAGGGGTCTGCGCTTCGGCCGGCCCCTCCCCCAAGGTCATCCAACTTTTCCCTCCCCCTCCCCCGCGGGGAGGGCCCCCCCCGCGTGCATTATTCATTGGTCCCGGCCCGCGGCGGGCGCGGGTGCTGATGTCAGGCCAGCGCGGGTGAGGCGGGTGCGGCGGCCGCCCAGCAGCCCGGGCGCGGGTGGGGGGGCGCCGAGTGGGGGTGGCGGCCAGCATGCTGCTCGGCTGCGGCTCGGCCTCCCACACCCGCGGCGCCCGCGTCCTCGCCAGCAGCGCCGCCGGCCGATCGGGGAAGCGACACCCGCGTCTGCAGCGGCGCCGGGTCCGAGCGCGCGGCGCGGGGCGGTGGCGGCAGCGGGGGTCCGGGCCCGGGCGGGGACCGGGGGACCCGGCATGGCGCTGCGGAGAGGCGGCGGGGCGCTGGGGCTGCTGCTGCTGAGCGCCGCGTGCCTCATCCCGCCGAGCGCGCAGGTGAGGCGGTTGGCGCGCTGCCCCGCCACTTGCAGCTGTACCAAGGAGTCCATCATCTGCGTGGGCTCCTCCTGGGTGCCCAGAATCGTGCCTGGCGACATCAGCTCCCTGTGAGTGGGACCCCTCCACCCCCGCCCCGCCCTGCCCTGCCCTGCCTTGCCCTGCGCCGGCCGCCACCAGGGAGTTGCGGCTGGTGCTGGGGCAGCGCCACCTGACCCTGCTCCCTAATCCCTTTCTTTGCGTTTGAGTTGGGGGCGCACCACGGGGCGTGGGTGGAGTCTGTGCCGCGGGGAGGTTAGGGGGACTCAGAACCCCGGAGTGCGGGAATCCATTAGGTCCGCGTGACAGTTTCTCATTGTGGCCCGCGGCCACCTGCATCAGATCTACCTGGGGGAGCTGATGTTACTGCAGACCCGGGGCCCACAGTGGGGTAGGGTCTCTCCACCAGAGTCCACAGCCTGTATATCGCGCCCCGCGATGATCGTTTGGGTGCCTTAAAGTTTTGAGTGGTTCTGTTGTGTTGTTGGGTGGGTGGGTGTGTGACTGGAGAGCAGCTCATTGTGCCCGGATTGAGTGGACTAACTAGGAATGGGTGAGGCCTCATGGCAACCAGCCTGAGAGGTGCTGTGAGGTTGGCCCCCTCCGGACCTCTCCACACTACAGGCTGGGAAGAGGCTAGCCTGGGCAAAGGCGCGCAGCCTCTGGAAGTGGAGGGGCTGCTCCACGTGGCTTCAAAGAGGGCTTCCAAGTGTCTTGCGGTAATGAGGTGTCCAGCTGAGCCCCTAGGGTAGGAAGGCACCTGACTTCTTGCCTTGAGTTCAAGAGGGCCTGTCTTTTTACCACCTTTCCCCATAGCGGGTTGTATTACCAGCACTGGGCAGAACTAATCAGAAAGGGTCCCCTGTCCACTTGTTAAGTGCTTTCGACTAGGTCTCACACAGTCACACTGGCATAAATGTTGCTATGGAAGGGACCTTAGGGGGCTATATTGCTGAGACATTTCCTGCTAGGGTAGTCCATTGTTCCAGGGTAAGATGCTGGGGCCACCCTTCCCCCGCCCCCACAGTTGTAGCGGAGGGAATCCTGAGGGTGAGGGAGTCCTGGGGATAACGTTGTTTGTGCCTTTTCCTGCGTGTCATCATTCTTGTGCCTCTTCTCCAAGGCAAAACAGCGTCATGATCCAGGGATGGAGAGGATCCGGGGCCCTGTTTACATCTGTAAAAAGTTGGAAGGACAGTAGGCCTGTTTGACTTTCCTATTGCTAAATTAGATCACATGGAGGATTCTAGAATTTCTCTCGTTAAGCCCCTCAGATATGATCAAAGCTGAGGTGTTCTGCATGTTAACTGAATAATGTATGGAAGTCCTGCTGTGGTCAGAAAGAGTAGGAGACCCTGAGGCAGAAACAACCAAGCTTCTATCCCGGGTTGACCATTTATCTGGCAGATGGCGTTGCCTCTTCCTTCCTGGGCAAGTTCAGGTGTTTCTGAGTTTTCCCCAAGGCTTTCACAGTGCGTTTAATCAGAAGTGCTCTGAGTGTCTTCCAGAGACATGTGCTTCCAAGGGGAATGCTTAATCCTACCCCAGAGTTTTGGGGGCCAACATTAACTTTGTGTCTGCACAAACAGTATCTTGGGCAAAGGTGAAGTAATTATCCATCTTTGGCAGGGGCCTCCTGTAGTTAAATGAAGGAAGCGAGGGGATTATTTTAAGCAGACAGAACTAATGTCTGTGCGAGGAGCCAGGCTGATGGTACAGGATCCTATTAGCCAGACAAGGCTCCCCATTGATCAAGTGCATTGGAAAGCAGCTTGCCCCTTCTCATCTTGTTCCCTGAGAAGATGATGGCCAAACACAGACGCTTTTCCCTGCAGAGGAAGAGTGTGAAGCTCAGTTGGAAGATGAGGCCGAGTGCCCACACGGCTTGACATTTCCTGAAAGCAACCTGGGCTTCCCTCTGTCCCTCTCTTGCCTGTAGGAGCCTAGTCAATGGAACATTTTTGGAAATCAAGGACCGAATGTTTTCCCATCTGCCTTCCCTGCAGCTGCTGTGAGTATGGGACATTCTCTGCAAAATGGAGTCCCCAAAGTGTGGTCCTTGATGGGTGGTCTCTGCCTCGTTAGTGTGGGTCTTCCTATAATACAACAGCTACCCGAGTCACCCCTGCTGGCTCTTAGCTTGTCCTGTGGTGTCCACATTGAACCAGTGTCCTGATCCAGTTCATCACCTAAGTTTCCACCCACTTTTCTCCTGGGGCTTTGTGTATATCCCACTCACAGATCAGGCAAGTGGGAGGTGGCTGCATTGAGTTTCACCTCAATGAATAGTTCCCCCAAACATCTCACTTCACCAAAAGAAACTTATCTTTAAAAATCTTGATATTGCTCTTCAGATAGGAGCATTTCCAGTTTGTCTCACACACGTGCAGGCAGGCAGTATACTTGGCATTGGAGGTGGGCATGCTTTGATCTCACTGGCCTGACATCTCTTCGGGAAAGGTACTTTTGTTTCCCCATCTGAGAGATGAAGAAATGGATGCTCAGAAAGGGTAAATGCCTTACCTTGATCCACGGAGTGAGGATCCAAGCCCATGGCCCAAAACTATGTTTGTCCCAGGTCTTCTTAGTGAACCATGCCCAAGTCACTGTGATGAATGCCCACACAGGGCCCTGAAACCAAAGTCAGCTGATGTTTGATAATGACAATAAACATCCCAAAGTCACTTTGTGAAAGTAATTCACTTGGCTGGGGTTTGTGTATGGAGGGTGTGTAGCTCAATGGTAGAGCATTGCTACCATGCAGGAAGCCCTGGGTCCCATCCTTAGCACTGCATAAGCAAAATCGAAAATCAGCAGGCCGTCGTGAGTACATAGCACAGACTCTGTCATATTTCTTGGACTTAGCGAGACTGTAAGTACAGCAAGCAGTGCACTATAGAAAAAAGACAGAGATACAAATCACTAACCACCCTCCATGAATTGCCACTGATAGTTTTATTCTTGATATGTTTTATACCTACTGTAACATGAAACTTACCACTTAAAATCTCAGTTCATATGCCAGCAAGATGAGTCAGTAGGCAAAGGTGCTTGCCACCACACCTAATGACCTGAGTTCGATCCCCGGGGCCTGTATGGTGGAAGGAAATTAGTCTCTGGCCTTATATAAGTGTTGTGGCACACTTGTGCCCTGCCAACATGCCATACAATAAATAAATAAATAAATAAATAAATAAATAAATAAATAAATAAATAAATAAATAAATAAACAAAACACAACTTTAAATCTCAGTTCTTTCAGAATAGAAATACAGCTTAAATATTATTTAACCAAATAAACTTAGGTGGTTCTATAAATATTTTACAGAAAATTATTTACCTGGCTACTCAAATAGAAAACCACATAGTGATAATCTTCTAGAGATTTCTTAACCTTTTAAAGATGTTTCTTTCTCATGAGAATGTATAGCATGGTAGACTGGATTCTTTTTCTTTTTTGCTTCCACTGTGTGACTTCAGTCAACTCTCTTCTCTTCCTTGGGCTCAAATATCTCTAGAATACAGTTGGGTTAGATTCCTGTAAGTCTATGATTCCATGGTTTCTTGGGCATCATGACGTATTCATTGGCTATGCAATTGTGCCTAGCAGAAAATTGGTTTTGAATAGTGGCCATCAGTTCATATTTCCCAAGGTCCATATTTTCCAAGATGGGGACAGAGAGGTAATATTGGAGAGACAGCAGAAGATTCAGCCAGCAAGGGATCCCTTCCTCACTGTCCCCATCACAGTGGTGAGGACAGTTGGGAACCTAAGCAGTTGTCCTTAGGCTGAGAAGAGCCTTCATTTGCCCACGGATCAGCACCTAACAAAAGAAAAAGAAACGGCTTCACCTCATGACTGACCTCTCCGTCTCTACTAAAACCTGTCTTGTTTTCAGATTGCTGAATTCTAACTCATTCACGGTGATCCGGGATGATGCCTTTGCTGGCCTTTTTCATCTCGAATACCTGTAAGTGTTGCTCAAAGTTTGGTTCCTCCAGGGGCTTTCTAAAGTTGTGTCCTGTGGAGGGGAGAGGACTGCAGAAAGCCTCCTTCTCATGCCAGCACTGGCCTGTGAGCTGACTTACTGTTCAGCATGCTGGGGCAGGAGGAGGCTGGGGACAAAGCTCAGGAGAGGAGGCACTCATTCATTCTCTGCTGACATTTAATTTGTCATGTAGTAAGTACGACTGGAGATTGTGCTGGATATTTTTACCTCCATAACTAGGCATGGATTTGCTGAGGGGCCAGAAATAGAGCTGGACGGTTCTCAGGGCTACTTATTTTTAAACAAAGTTTCCCTATTTGAGGGTAAACTGTCTGGTTTGTATCCAGCTGTCCCATATCCCATTTGCTCTATCTCCTGTGAGTTCTGCTGAGGGTCTGATTAGATTTTCCTTTTCCTAAAAGTGAAAACCCAACCCAAACCAAAGCAACAAAAAAGCAGGAGAGGGGGTTATCCACCCTCTTCAGACGTACCATTTCCCCCTCTAGCCTCGAGCTTGGCTGTGGTTCTTATTTTAGCCTTTATCACATTCAAGTCTTTCCATTCCCCTTAAGTTGTCCCAGCCTTGTGTCTGGTGAGTCTGTAATAATGCTAATCCTGCTATCAGTTGGGATTTTCTTGCTTAGCATTCAGAGGATTTGCAAAGCCTTGTTCCTGCTGTCTTATCTGAGGTGAACAGGTAGATGTTGGAATTCCAGACACATCCCAGGTAGAAAACGCTCTCTGCTGGTGTGAGGTCTCAGGGAACGGTGTCTCCCCAGGAATTCTTTCTCTGGAGAACCCTGTCATAATCCGGTATTTTGGGCATGTATTTGATGTGGAGAGAGTGTCACAGCTGCAGGATTGAAGCCACTGGGGTCTGCTAAAAGCCCATGAATAGCTGTGGGGTACCTGGGATTTTCTCTGATGGGAAGTTCATGTCTGCCCAGGGCATCAGGGAGAAAGTTAGCTTATCAGGGTATGCTAAAATCTAGGACTACACAGACACCAGAGTTTTTAAAAACAGGCATCAGAGAGTTCTCTCGGTGAGAACTAACTCATTGATTGTGTCACAGATGTGGCAAAGCCTTTCCCTTGGACCATCTCATCAAAGACGTGCTAGCTTTTGACTTAGCTTTTTGGCCCTTGGGAACAGTTACAGTGTTCTCGTGTCATATCCTGAGAGTTTATAGCATGACCAGTGTCGTTGTGACGGGGTCTCTATGTAAGTCCTGTACCATCTCAGCACAAAGAAAGCCAGCCCTGCTCCCTGGACCCTCCTTTCTGCTTTCTAGCATCCTTCAGAGCTTGAGAACACCCCTGCCATGTCACCATTTGTCTAGAGACGAGGCTGTGGAGGACAGGATGAGCTCAAGGTTGCTGGAAGCCAGGCTTAATGGAACTCTTCCTAGCAAAAACTAAAACCCAGAGATGTAACACAATGGGCTCCCCTCTAGGGACTATGGTATAAGCAAAAGTATATGGATAGCCAGGCAGAGTTTGGCAATGTAAGAAGAGCAGGGAAAAATGCCTGGAAGCTTTCCAGTGTTGCAGAGATGGGAGAATTTCTGGCTTCCATGCAGCACATTCTTCTCCCTTCCTCAAACCCAAGATGCTATCGCCCCTGTTGCCAGCTCTGAATCTGGAGACATCAAGTTGATCTGGAAGGAGCAGAGAGGCTGGCATGCCTGTGTTCTTGCTCACATGCCTGGCTCCCTCGTGGAGTTGAGCGTAGCTTGCTGCTAACTTGGGAGTGTCGGTACTTCATGAGTGCTTTCCAGTTTTACTGCCAAAGCACACTATATCGTCTGCTAGAGATATTCAGGAGAGGGAATGTGGTCATCTTATGTCGCTTCTCTCCTTAGGTTCATTGAAGGGAACAAAATAGAAACCATTTCAAGAAACGCCTTTCGGGGTCTCCGTGACCTGACTCACCTGTAAGTCCCCCGAGATCCGCTGTAGGTGCTGGGGAGATGGCTGAGTCTGCAAAGGGCTGGCCATGCACACACCCCGAGGCCCTTGGTTGGCTCCCCCAAACCCATGTAAAAAGACAGGCATGGGGGTGCATACTTGTGACCTCAGTGCTGGGGAGGCAGAGGCAGGAGGATTGCTGAGGTTTGCTGGCCAGCCAGCCTCTCTGAAGCAGTGAGCCCCAGGTCCCAGGGAGAAACTTTATCTCAAAAAATAAGGTGGATGGCTCCTGTGGTCACATGTGTATACACGAACACACACACACACACACACACACACACACACACACACACGCACGCACGCACTCACGCATGCACCCACACATGCACCCACATAGAATTGTTTTTCCTTGACGTTTCTGTATTCACAACACCTCTCAAAGGAAACTCATTTTGAGATTGCCCGAGAGACTCCATTACTGTCAGACACTACTCTTTGTGGTGACCAACTTGTACACTGGTCTCCACCATCCTGTGTCACCAGGGGGACCCACATAACTCCATGTGAAGTAGGAAACCCTCAGTGCTCCGAAGGCCTTGTGCTCGTGGAGGAAGTGGGATAGAAGCATGGTTCTTCTACCCATTTGGTGCCAGGTGCCAGGCCGGCCTGGTACCCAGACGCCTTCTCCGTCTTTCATGATAATCTGCGAGTCTCCATTCTACAGAACTGGGAACTGACACTTGAGAGACTCAGTGAAGGACATCGGGTAGAGGAGGGAAAGTGGCATAGAGACATCGTGTGTCCCCCCATTAGGATGAAAGCCGCCTTTTCTGTTATGTTAGAGGAATCTGTAGTTTCAGTTAGCTCTCCAGTTCCTTACTCGCTTGCCAGAGGCCAAAGGGAGAAAAAGGAACGGATCTGAATTGATCGGCATATCAGAATAAAACATGCACATACACTTAGAGAAGCTGATAAGATTGGAAAAAAAATAATGACTGTGTTTCTGAAAATGTAAAACCGGACATTGTCATGGTCGGAGTCATTTATTAGCCAAGACTTGGGCTTCATTTGCATAATAGATAATTTTTGTCTGAGGAATATGATGAGTCCTATATCCATAGTCACTTTGTCTATGATTTAAAAAAAAGAGAGAGAATTGAGGAAATCGGAGGGCACTGACTCTGGGGGCTGGGCAGGGATGATGGTACCTTTGAGTGTAACCCTGACCGTAGTGTAGGAACATAGTCATTTAAAAGAGTCTTCTCATTAAGCCATAATGATCCTGGTGAAGGCATCTGCCAGTGTGCACAGTAAGCCTGGGTTCTGGGGCTGCCAAAGCAGAAGCCCACCTGAGCCCAGGGCTGGAGGGGAAGGGGAGAGGGAGCAACCATGGGGGATTGGAGCATACTTGTCAGCACAGTGCATGTCAGAGAATGTGTGTCCTGTTGACATTATTGTTCTCGGGTTTGTTTTTCTCTGGAAGTGCAGACTTCTCTCAGAGTCAGCCTGTATGCCAGAGCCCTTACCTCCCATGGACTGAGGTTTCAGGCTTGGGTTCAAAACTCCAGGTCATCCCTTATTGATATTACTTAGATTTTCTGGTCCTTGATGTCCTCATTCTCAAGATAATGATAATTGTACTGACTGTGGATGGTTGATGTACGTAATACATTTATGATGTTTGGTTGCAAAGACCAAAGCCCTACTTCCCACAGTAAATGCCAATGACAAGAAAATGGCTGGCATCATCATCATCATCATCTTCCTCCTCCTCAATGACAATACCATTCCATCCTTCCAGTCATTAAAAAGGTCTTGATTTTTCTCTCTGGATTGATACATTTTCTTGACCATTTGAGTATCCAGACAGAGACTGCTGAAAGGATGGAGTTCCATCTGGAGAGGAACAGCTGAGGCACATAAATGTGGGTACCAAAAGCTGGGAAGGAGGACCATTGATATTAGGCACACGCTACAGGCAGAACCTACACATTGTTTGTAGTTGGCACTGCCCTTATCTCCCTTTTAAACTTCTCATACAGAGAAAGCCTCAGCTCCAAAATTTACTCACTTCCTTAGGGAAGTCCCTGCCCAGAATCTTCTCACTTAAATGAAATGTTTGATGTTGGCCTTTTGTGAACTTTCCCAACACTTAGATACCCACATTCATATTAAAACACGAGTTGGGTTCCAAAGCATGGAGGGAGCCATGCCAATCTGTAACTAAAATCTAGGACATTTGTTTTCCAGCAGTCTTATAGAACCCAGGGGACAGGAAGCTATTAAATAGTTGGAGAAATGAAGTAAGTGCTCTGGGTTTGTAGATGAAATGAAATGGAAAGGAAGATGCAAATGTTAAGCACTCTGCATGGGTAGGGTGGATAGCTCATGAGAAGAGGGCTGCCTTCTGAAACCTAGCTTGCAAGTTGGAGCAATTGCTAAATATTCTTGTTTGTTTGCTTGCTTTAGCCATTCCAAATCTAATTATATTATTACCGTTTCAGTGCAGCAGCATCCAGGTAGCCACGTAGTTTAATTAAATAACTAACTGATATTTAGCTAATTTCTTTTTGCTTTGCTTTCCAAATCAAAACAAACACCCCCCCTTTTTTTTTTACATTTCCAAAAAGTTACCCCAGTGTACGTTCAGTGTGATTATATAATCAGCTTATTTCCCAACACATCCAAAAATGTGCAAGTACCTCATTAAGAAAAGCAAGGTAAAATAGCACACGAAATGGTATTCTAATCCATTTATGGTTGCCTGAGTGGGAAGGGAATAAATAGAAACTGTTGGCCTCCCCATTCTCAGTCGGTATTTGAAGGAAGAATGTTTGGAGTAAAAAGGAGCTTAAACTTTCTACTACAGCCCACTGACTGTAAAAAGAAGTACTCATTTATTTAACTATCCTTCTGGGATGGGCCATGACCATGCTATGGCCAGGTATGACTCACTTCATACCTGTTTTATAAACTACGTACATGTTTATCACTTAGACATGTTGCCATTTATACTCACGAGTTGAAGAAGACTCTAGAAGAAGGCATCCATTGCTTGGCCAATTTACATTCGTGGGTGGTATCTGGGGAAAGCACAGACTTGATGTACATTGTTTCCACACTCAACATCTTCCTGTAAGGACACTGCACTGTGGGCTTCCATCCTCAGCAGGCTGGTAACGGGGCACTGCAGAATCCTGAATCGATAGGAGCTGATGCTCTTCAGGAGCTGATGCTCTTCAGAATAGTCTGCCGTAGCTGGAGGTAGGTGTGGACTGGCCTCTCAGAAACCTGTCCAACACTAAGAAGAAACAGGGAAATGATTTCTCATCAGCCTTGGTTAATGAAAAGCTGAAATCAATCATAATCAGTTATTCACTAAATATGCCGCTTCACTGAGATTCCATTATTATTATCCTAGTGTGTCAGAGAGTATTCACTGAGTCCATTTCAGAAACATGGACCATCAAATATCCTTTGATGGACCGTAAGAGAACTTCTTGGGAAAAGGTTGTACATTTTCCATGGTTAGTCTCATATTGTTGCCTCATTCATTCATTCATTCATTTTCCAGAATAGCATGTCCATCTTCTTTATCTGCAAAGATTTCCCAATTTTCTGAGTGTTTTCACTGTTCTGGAGGTGGGACGACACCATGGACAGGCAGCAATCTCTGCTGCTTTTGTGTCAGGAAGGTACCCAGTCAAGAAGCAAACAAATAATTAAAACATACTTGCAAATGACTGTCTTCCAATGAAGTTCAAGGAGCCATCGATATGTGGCTGGGTTAGAGGAGTGGATGGTGAAGTCTCACCTACTGGGGTGGGGCGTTCCTAGACTATGAAGAGTCCTACACACCATGAAATGGGACCTTGGCATGTCCCCCTCCCCCTTTTTTTTCAAGACACGGTCTCACTGTCTAGGACTGGCTGGCCTGGAACTCCACTACATACACGAGGCTGGCCTCAAGCTCGTAGAGATCCACCTGCTTCTGCCTCCCAAGGGCTGGAATTGAAGGTGTTGCTCCACAAGGCCTGGCCTGGAACCTTGGTTTTTATTCCAAGAACCAGAGAAGCCATTTGTAGTTTAATAGCTGTGCATAAAGAGCTTAATAAAGTGCTTACTTTCAAAACAAAAAGGCTTCCATTGAAATCCAGTTGTCTTTGTGTCATGGAGTTCCTGTCTTTCGGTGTTGACAATCAAAGCCATTCAGAGCTCTCCTTGAATCATTAGATGTACTTAAAGGGACTTCAGAAGGAACAGCGGGAAGGGAGTAACCACATTAAAATGCGACTTTCTTTTTCTAGTTCTTTGGCCAACAACCACATTAAAGCACTTCCAAGGGACGTCTTTAGTGATCTAGATTCTCTGATTGAACTGTAAGTAATGCAAATGAAGTTTGGGTGTACTGGTCACAGGCCCCAGCCAACTGGCTTTCCAATCCCTTTGCTCTTGACTAGCTAGACCTATCACAGAGTAGTACACACTGAGGAACAGCATGTGTATTGTCTTGGGTTGAATTCAGCCATTAGATAATGTATCCTGTGTCCAATAGTAAGTTAGGCTTGCTGGATGAGTGGTGCCTGTGTAGACTTTCCATCTGCTTTGCCTCCTCAAGCTTCACTAGAAGCATTGTGACTGTAGCATATTGCACTGGGTGCAGTTTAACAAGACCTGGGATGTTCCAGTTGTGTTTGTGAATACTGTCTTCCTATTACATCTTGTTTTTATTTGTGGGAACCTATATTGGGATGTTCTCCCATCCCTTCCCACCTCCAACATTGAACTGAGACAATTTTTAAGAGGGATGATGTCTCATCTCTGAGAACTCTCTGTATGCCATTCAGTTAAATCACTTCATCAAGGAATACTCAATAAAGATAACAATAAGTACACAAAATAATATGCATGAAACACAATTATTTTAAAGAAATTCCATAATTGGATTGTTTTAGATGTATCAGGCTATGAATAACCCCAGTGTTTCATATGACACCCAAAACATGCCAAACATGTCTGTTTCCCTGTGCATGTGTTTGTGTTCTGTATTTCAGAGATTTAAGGGGTAACAAATTTGAATGTGACTGCAAAGCCAAATGGTTGTATCTATGGCTGAAGATGACCAATTCCACTGTGTCTGATGTGTTGTGTATCGGTCCACCAGAATACCGGGAGAAGAAGCTCAACGATGTGAGCAGCTTTGACTATGAGTGTACCACCACAGGTAGGCAGAACCTCTCTCCTCAAAGACGGACGGGTAGAGCAAGTCATTCTTTTCCTGGTAGACTGCCAGCTGCATATGAGGGAAAGTGACCATCGGCATTTTCGATCAAAGCCATTTTAGAGAAAGTGTAAGGATTTTAAGAGAAGTGAATCAGGGCTGGCAATGTGGCTCATTGAGTAAAGGTACTTGCCACCAAGTTGGGTGACCTGAGTTCAATGCCTGGGACCTATGTGGGAAGAAAACTGATTCCTACCAATTGTCTTCTGCTCACGCTTGTGCGCATGTGGACACACATACACACACACACACACACACACACACACACACACACACACACACACACATCATGTAAAATGTTTAAGAAATGAATCAATTTGGTTAGGAAAATACCTCAACAGTTAGAAAGGATTTTGTTAGCTGCACTAGCTCTTATTTTAATTTCTTTTTTTTCCTTCATTATCCCCCCCCTTCTCCCTAGCCTTGAGACAGAGTATTGCTATGTAGCTCAGGCTGTCCTAATTCTTGTTATGTTGAATAGGCTGGCCTTGAATTTGAAGGCATTGTTCTGCTTCAACCTCCCAAGGGCTGGGTATTACAGGTATTTTTTTTTTTTCTGCCAAGCCTGTTTTAATTTTGATTCTTTGCAAACAAAATCCAAGTACTCCAGTGTTCTTTTTTCCCTCTAATTATGTGCGTTTCTGAGTGTGTGCACATGTTCATGCATGTGCATGCATGAGTATGTGGATGCCAGAGGTGAAACTTGGGTGCCATTCTTCAGGATTGCTTTTTGAGGCAGCGTTTCTCGGTCCGAATCCTGCTGATTCAGCTGGACTGGTTAGCCAGTGAGCCCCACGGTCTGCCTGGCTCTGCCTCCCCAGCACCGTGTGCACCTCACCGTGTCAAGCTTTTTTATGTAGGTTTTGGGGAAGAAAACTTAAGTCTGCATATGCAGAAAATACCTTCCTGACTGAGCTAGCTCTCCAGCTTGCCCATCTGTCTGTCTGTCTTTGAAGACTGAAATACAGACTTGAGAATTTGGTGTGAGACCCTCTTTAAATTGGCCTGCCTTTCATGGAAAGTCAGCACAGAAAAGTCTGGATATTTTTGTGATGACTGGCTTTTTTTTTTTCCTCCAGTAAGATGATACTTATTATAAGTTTAATATCAGATTTTTATATCTATAAGTTATTTTCCATTTCAAGTAGGGAGAGATAACTAGGAAAATTATAGCCTGTGGCAAAGTAGAATATATAAGTTGACAAGCGGTTACTGAAGAAAAACATTCACATTGAGGGAAAACTGTAAAGGTAGTGTGACTTTGTTTTTCTCAGAACCCGCCTCAGGGTTTCCATTTCCACATTTTTGAGGTTACAGAATAAAATTAAAATGCCGACTACCTCCAAGTCCCCGCAGGTAGAGGGCAGGGGGTCCCTCTGTTTGAAAAGCTCAAACAGGTTTCCGGTGCTTCTGAAGCTGGATTTTCAAGGAGAGAGGATCAATCCACAGTGTGCAGCCAGCTTTCTAGATGTTTGTGGAAATAAACGGTGAGGCTAGGAGTTGCTATCTACAAAGCCTAAAGGCATGTCGAGAACTCAGAAAACAGCTAAAGAAATACTGAAGACATAAAAATCCCAAGAACAAGGCATCATATTTAGGCCCAAATCGACTACTCCCTTCCAAACAAGCCAAAACCCACCAAGTCGATAGGAATCCCAGGTGTTCATGTGCATGTACACATGTATGCTTGCAGATACTCACAAGTTCTGCTTGGGAAACTGGAAGTTTCAAGAAAGTAGCCTTGTCTTGACCCACAGAGCTGGGGTGTATTCAGCTGTGTGATTGGCAGGCGCCTTTTACTCAGCCTGGCCACGAAGAGGTTATTTGTTGTGGTATCAGGCCAGCGCAATAAATCAGAGGTCATGGTCAATGGCATTTGTACAAAAAGGTGTCATTCAAGACCATTTGGCATTAGGTGCTGGACTGTAACTTTCTGAGACTCCTCTTGGCCTTCACTTCTTTTCTAGAGAGTTCTCTAAACACCACAGTGAGATTGGCATTTCCCATCATTCTGTTCACATCTGGTCACAGTGTCCATCTCTGAGAAGATGACACAGGTTTATAGAATGCTCTGGGAACAGAGCAGCATTTATACAAGAAAATAGGATGTCTGACCTCAGGACCTTGTGGATGGTTCTAATTGTGTTCTGGGACTGAGAACTGTCATTGGAAAGCAGACGGCTTGGAACTGCAGCAGCCAGGACCTGAGTCCCAGAATCCATGGGGACAGTGTGAGTCCTCTAACACATTTGGGCCATCTCTTGGGTTTCTTTGTCTTTGCTAACAAGGTTCCTACTCCTTCCAAAGTCCAAATGGAGCTTTCAGGAAGGAAGGAACTGATTGTTCTTTTCAGTTGCCTTAAGCTATGGACACTTTGGCTCTGCTCCACGATTTTTGTCCAAGGGGGTGATGACACAATAAGATGACCTGTCCCCAGATACTGTCCCTGCCACATAAGTGTGTGGTCAATAAATTGTGAGGTTATTGACATGTCTGTCTTCTGCTCATATCAAGTCCTGGCCTCTGGTGCTTTACCAAAGGCCAGGGAAAATTTGGTGAGAGGATGCCTGGAGGATGGAGAGGCAGACTCACTGAGAGAGAGAGAGAGAGAGAGAGAGAGAGAGAGAGAGAGAGAGAGAGAGAGAGAGAGAGAGAGAGAGAGAGCGCCCAGGGTCACTTTATGGCTTCCTTACTTTGGAGGAAGCCATCTTTTTCTTAGCTCAATCTCTCCCTGTTTGGCCCAAGAGAGGAAGGCATTGTTACCATGCTGTTCCTCCACAGAGGGGAGTAAAGAGCAGGCAGCCACTACCAGGCTGCCTCAGCTCTTCAGATTAATCACAATTCTTCTACACCCTCCCCTTCAAGTCTATTTTTAACCAGGCAGAGATTCCTGTTACCCACCGATGATCCCATGTTAGGTGGATAATTCACTAAATTCCTTAGAGGGAGTGAGTTTTGCATCCTAATTGTCCTGTTAGCCTCCCTTGTTCGGGCTGATGAAAATGCAAAGAGAAATAATGCATTAATGTGCACTCTCTCTCCCCATAGGCTCAGCATCATGTATAATTTATTTTCTGCAACTTCTATAAATAGCTATGTAAAAATCTGTGGATTCCAGTGGGAGAAAGACCGAAATTGTAAGAGACCCACTGACATCATGAACCTGATCTGATGTGAATGGAAGCGGTCGGTGGCTCTCATGGCGGAATGTACCATTAATATTTTAATGCTAGTAAATTGATGTCACTTTAGTCTGTGTGTCCTTTGAGGTCTCTCTACAATGACCATGCCTTTGGCTTTGTGAGAGTCCGGTTCAGGTGTGGGGAGGAGAAGGTAGGCGAATTTGTCTAGGGCCTTTCTGCACAGTGTATAGATGCCGGTCTCTGTCCCCTGTCCCTCGGCCCTTTCTTCCTCTTCCTTTGGTGGTGGGAGTAGGGCTGTCTTCTATGAAGGATTAGTCATTTATGTGATTAACAGTCTGTGTCATGCCAGATAGTCAGCGTATAGGAAATATTATGAAATGATGAATTTAATTTGGAAAAATAAATTAAAACAGAGTCGTGGAAGCTTGATTTGTATAACATGTTCTGTATTCTAGTAGAACTATTTTTTAAACAAAAAAATTTCTTTTTATTTTTAATTGTGTCTATGCCTATGACTTTGTGCATACTCAGGGCCTGTGGAGGCCAGAAGAGGGTGTACTATCTCTTGGAGCTGGAGTTACAGGCGGAGTTACAGTATCCTGACATGGATACTGGGAATTGAACTCGGGTCCTCTGCAAGAGCAGCAAGTCCTAAGTGCTGAGCCATCTCTCCAGCCCCTATTCTGGTAGCCTTTCTATATTGCAGGATTCCTCAGTAAAGGTGGAAATCTTCTACTTTAAGGCACACACATTCTAACTCAGAAGCTTACGTTTCTGAGACTTGAGAGCACATCTGGGCAAGCAGTGGGAGCTAGCAGATATGGGAGCCGAAGACATCAGCGGGAGTTTAGAGCCTTGGCCTCCATGATGAAAGGAAAGCGGCCGAATGTAGAGGAGTTTATCACTATCTCTGCTGAAATGAAAAGAACTGCATTCCTTGATGTTCTAGAGCCCACAAAAGGGAGCGTGCAGGAACTGCCTCCTTCCTTCCTGTTCACCTGCCTTGAACATAAGCAGCCTTGAACACGTGCTTAGTTGCCTTCTGACTAGCTTGGTAGTTCTTTCTTGGTGGTGATGGTCGCAAGTATGTGTCCAGAGCTGGCTAGAGGCTACTGGGCATCTTCCCTAAGTCTTCAGCAGGTGGCTTGCTACTGTCTGCTTGCAGAAGTAAAATCCTTGCTGAATGGCGTGGGCTGGGTGTTGTGCCTCACACCTTTAAAATGGAGGCTCTATCTTCCACCTTCAATCACACAGAAGCTTGATCTGCCTGACCTCCAAGGCTGGCCTCTCCTGGACTCTTTGCTTTCTTCTGGATTGTTAGGGGGCACCTTGTCCACTAGAACCATACGTCCCTCCACCACCCCTTGCTCACCTTCTATCTGCTGGGCTACAGAAGCATCCTCCTCTTAGTTCCCAGTGACACAACTCCTCTCCATTCTCATAGAACCTGCCTGCTGTACTCAGCTTCCTTGTCTGTTACCCACAGTCTTCACAACAGACTTGGGTTAAGGCTATGCCCACCCATTAAGTTAAAAAAAATGTATTAAGCACTTATTGTGTACCACAAATGAGGGAGGGGCGCCTCTTAAAATGAAGGTGTATGGAACTCCCTTTTGTGTTAGGCTAAGAGGTTCTCGTGTGCATGCAGATATGTACAGATGTACATATAAGCCCCCATGCATAGGAAGGCAGACAGTGGTCATGTCATTTCCCCCAAAGTTAGAACATCAAGAATCTACTTGGCAAAAATGTTATTAAAATAGACACCCTGTCTGCAAAGATGGCCAGGATATAGACACGGAGGTGGGACAGCCTGTGTCTGAGTGAGCTCTGAGGTAGACAGTTTCACCCCCTGTGATCTGATCTGTCCCTGCCACAGAGTTGGAGGGACAGCCTCCTTACCTCATCTTAGGACAAATAAACCAAGACCTGGAAGTGACTAACCTTAGGTCTTAAGGGCAGGAAGTAGCTTCAGGCCATTCACTTCTAAGCACAATGGTCTTCCTAGAGCCTCACATAGTCCTTGTCCCCTGAGCCCTGACTTTCTCCTGCCGCCTGTCTTTACTGACCCCTCTCATCCTGCCCCATACTTGCCGCCTTGACTCTTGCCCAGCTGTTACCTTTCCTGCCTCTTCTATTGATCAGGCTCCCTGGATGCATGGCTCACGTGACATCTTTGATAGGGCAACGTCTCCAAATTGGACTCTGATGCTGTTGTTTGGAGTCATGTGGCTAAGATGTAAACACAGCATTGCTGGTGATATGAACTTTGAATGAGGATGGTTAAGGATTGGGTGAGGAAGAGCTGAGCAAAACCCACGATCTCCTCCTGGATGCATAACCAAGGGACTGTACATGTTGGAGCATTTCTGGCCAGAAGAATGCTTAATCTCTGTTTTTTTAAACCATTTGTTGTGGGTGTTTGTTTTTTGAGACAGGGTCTCACTCTCTGTCCCTGGCTGGCCTGGAGCTTGCTATGTAGACCAGCCTGGCCTTGGACCCACAGAAATCTGCCTCCTGAGGTCTGGGATTAGACATGTGCCACATACCCTGCTGTGTGTGTGTGTGTGTGTGTGTGTGTGTGTGTGTGTGTGTGTGTGTGTGTGTGTGTGTGTTTTTAAAGAAATTCTTTCTTCTCCAGATTTCTACTTTGCTTGTATACATACTATGCTAGCTCTGTGGGCATGCCCCCTTTGTCCCTTGGCATTTATGTGCCATACCTAAACTTCCACAGAGAATTAGTGGTCACTTGTGGACTCAATGTGGGTGAGGAACACTCAGTCCCCATGTCACGGTGCTGAACGTGTTCCTGTAGAGTTCATTGCCTTCTTCCTGCTCTGTTATGATGCCCAGACCCTAGGCACAGCACACCAAGTCCAATGTCCAGGGAGCTCATTTAGGTCCCCCCCCAATTTCCTCGGGGCTTCTTCATAAGACCCCTTTTTTTTTTTTTTTTTGGTTTTTCGAGACAGGGTTTCTCTGTGTAGCTTTGCGCCTTTCCTGGGACTCACGTGGTAGCCCAGGCTGGCCTCGAACTCACAGAGATCCGCCTGGCTCTGCCTCCCGAGTGCTGGGATTAAAGGCGTGCGCCACCACCGCCCGGCTTATAAGACCCCTTTTGAGACCCCCTGCAGAAGGTATCCCACCCCTACTTCTCCATTCATGTATGGAAGTGTAGTACTCACTATGGCCTGCACAGGTGCTGTTTCCCAATAGGGTTGTGTGGAACTGGATGTAAATGACAGGTGACCACAGGATCCCTGTTTCCTGTGAGTTTGAGAAGTGGTACATCAAGCCATATTAAGCCAGCTTCTTTCCCAAAGGGACTGCTCTGAGAGGGCTAGAAGTGTAGCAGTCTCAGAACTTACTAGAACACAGCATGCCCTGTCAGAGAAGAATTTGCATGCCAGCTTCATGAATTTCCTGCAGCATTCTTTCTGTCCTGCTTTTCTGATAGCCAAGTCTGCCAGATTCACTTAGACAGTGGAGGCCTTGTTGGTAACTTGTGACACTGCGTCTGGGAAGCAGTATCAATAACTCCACTGGCCTGGCGGTCCCATGTTGCAGAATTTCCAGAGCAAAATGTGACACAGGGCTGTGTGGAGTTGCCTGGTCCCCACCCTCCCGTTCCTTCCCCGGTACCTGCGCTGATGACACATAGCAGAGAGAATGTCCGTTGGAATTCTCACAAGGGTTTTTATGAACTAATAGTTGTTTTTCCACATCCTCTCAGATTTCGTCGTTCACCAGACTCTGCCGTACCAGTCAGTGTCAGTCGACACGTTCAACTCCAAGAACGACGTGTACGTGGCCATCGCTCAGCCCAGCATGGAGAACTGCATGGTGTTGGAGTGGGACCACATAGAAATGAATTTCCGAAGTTATGACAATATCACAGGTGTGTTGTGAAAAGAAACATCCCCTGTTGCAATCAAGGGAAGGCTTGAAGTCCGAGCTTTGAGGATAGGCGGGGACCACATTCCAGCCCACACTGGCCGTGTGACACTGGTCATCTAAGGTGTTGTCCATATGGTCAGCTATTGGTGGCAACAACAGAACTTCAGGTGGTAATTTCCCACTGGTGGTGATCCCGTTGGGAAAGAGGAGGTGGGGCCTCCGCGAGAAAGGTGAAAAAACATCTTCCTTCCGCAGTAAGAAGTCACATGGGACTCCCATGGTCCTGCATAGCTAAGGCAGCCTGTCTACCAGAGCTAAGCCACGGCTTTGTTTTGTGAAGCTGATGATTCACTAATATACCAGCACACGCACACACACACACACACACACATACACACACACACATACACACACACACATATACATACACACACACATACACACACACACATACATACACACACATACACACGCGCACACACACACACACATACACACACACGTACATACACACACATACACGCGCGCGCACGCACACACACACACATACATACACACACATACACACACGTACACACACACACACACACACACACACACACACACACACACACACAATCACTCCTCCTCCCATTGCTTGTTCTCTTACTGGGTCTTGATCACTGCTCACACTTAGTAAAAGCATAGCAATGAGAATGGACCGATCATAAATCCAGGCCGTTGGCTTCTTTCAGTGCTGCTGCTGTGGGTTCCCAGGGCTTTAGTGATACTAAAAATGAACTATCTGCTTGCTCTTTAAGTAAATGGATAAAAATTAAGATCAAAACAATTCTTCAATCTTCCCAGCCTTTCAAGTGTAACTGATACTGGCTGTACAAACAGCACTCTGGAAGCCTGATCATTGTCCTCTGAGAGATTTCCTGCCCAAGCTCCGGGAGGCCTTGAACTGTTTCTCCGGAGTGTACCAGGGTAGAAATTCTGGCTTGGGAAGATCCTAGGAGTTTCTCAGGCACAAGTGGCTACACAGCAAAGGCCGGGACATAGGTCGTCAGAAACAGTGGCGTTTCACTCCCGGGGGACAGGCTACTAATGAGTCTAATCATGAGTCCTGATGCCCAGGAGATGCCATCTCAGATGAGCTAGCTGCTGCCACAGCCGCCTGGTCTTCTAGCGTGGCGCTTACTGTCCAGGGAGCATGGCTTGGAAGCACAGACTCAGCGTAGCTCTGCATGGAGAACCTTGGATGTAAGGAGATCCGATAAAATCCTGGTGGGAGTTCGCTCCATGGTTTGGGGCTTGGTGCTTGGTGGAGGATGTGTGGGCTGGCTTCTGCCTGTGCATCCGTGCAGTCGGCACAGCTTTACAAGTGACCTGCTCTATTCATTCAGGGACAGAACCTGTCTCTACGTGTGTCCCTGTCCCAGGTTGATGATGATGTTGTCTACCTGTCCTTGCCGCTCACTGCGGCTGGCAATAGAGGGGAAACTGGGGTCCCCCTTTAGGGTTCTTAGTCTCATTAATACAAGGTCTTAAGAATGAACGCAAATGTAAGCACAAAGGTAATTTTATTAGTATTGAAAGGAAAAGTGCAGGGCACGCAAGCACTAAACCTCAGCAGCTGCCTGGCGGGGGTAAATGGAGACGAGAAGGAAAAAGCCATGCCATTTAAGCTGGTACAGTCAGACACAGGTGAACGAGCAGCCGCATGGCGGGGAGGGAACCTTTAGAGAGAGTAAGGAAGCAGGGAGAAGCCCAAAGTGTTAAGGGAAGCAGGCTTAGAAAAGAGGTAGAAATGGAAAAGTTCAACACTTACCTGAATAATTCAGAAAATCAGACAGACTTAGGAACCTACCTGGCCGTGGTCTGAGTTTGTAAGCTTTTGTACTAAAGATGGGGATTCTGGGAAAGAAAAATCTCATTAAAGGACTAATTGCTCCACCTAACTCTTTAGCATGGCTTAAGGGGAGCCTTCCTCCTTAGAGGTGCTCCTTAGCCAAGTTGATTGATCCAGCCGAGATGGAATGGTAGGACTCCATCTCACCCAGAGATTCTATTCACTTGGTCAGGGATTTTCTTTTTTAACTGGTGGCGACTTCAAATCCTTTCTCCTTCGTGCATTCATTCATAGATGAGGATTACTTGGGCACTGCCTCTGAGGCAGCTGTGTTCTAGTGGGTGGGGACAGAGTATTTGGGCAAGTTCATTGATGCTCATATGCTTCTGTCATCTGTGCAGTGGGAACTTTATGGCTTCTCTTTTCAACGAGATTTGTGTAGTATTGAACTTGGCAGTCTGGTGAGGATGTAATGGGTAACCTCCGTAATGGGCAGAGCCCAAGGCCAATGGCAACCTTGTCCACTACAGATGAAATGGGACCCACTCTCCTTCCACCAGAGACCCCAACTTTCTGACTTTAGTTAAGACTTCTAAGACTTACATAGGCACAGGGAACCCCAGAACTGGCAGAGACTGTCTAAGAATGAATTGTTCAGGCAGGGGAGTGTTTGCCTGTCTCTTGGTAGCTGAAGTTTAGCTTGGTGTGAAAGTCTCCTGGTGTGGGTGGACAGGCAAAGCCACACGTGGAGCCAGTAGCCTTGAGTGAGAGTGAGGAAGAGAGAGTGGATGGTTCTCCCCTCCGTGGGCTGGGCCTTTCTCGTTCGTCACTTTGCTTTGTCATGGGGTGACTCTAGAGTCAGCAGGAGCTTTTCCGTGTGTTCTGTCTGTGTCTGTTAAACAGAGTCTCTGAGGAATCAGAGAGACACCCAGGTTCTCGGGTAAGGTGTTCCTCTGTCTCCAGGTGAGAAACCCGTGGTCATGTTCACACCAATGCCTGCTGCTTCCTCTCCTTCTTCTCTTTGTCACTCTTCAGCTTTCTTGCTTTTTGTATTTTTATTGTTTTGTGACTTCTGCATGTTCTAACCTGTAATCTTTGCACCTATACTAATGGACAAGCAGACAGACAGACAGACGAGCGTTCTCTCTCTCTCTCTCTCTCTCTCTCTCTCTCTCTCTCTCTCTCTCTCTCTCTGTTGCTGCTGATGCACCCACAGGCTAGTCACCTGGGCAGTGGGGTTGAGGTCCTTCTCCAGGACAGATAGACTTCTAAACCCCACCCCCCAGGCATAGGGACCTCCGCCCAAGCGGTAAAGGAAGCTTGACTTAGAAATTGCCATCTGTAGGGTGGGAGTTCTTGAGTACTTTGGCAGTTCATGCCCTAAAGCCTTAAAAAGACACCCAACATTTATCCTAGCAGCTTCTTACAGTTGAGAACACTGCCAGATGGTTTCAAAGCATGTTTATTTAACAATATGTGAAAGGAAACATGTCATTTATCAATAATGAAAAACTAGAAAGAACTGCCACGTCCAACAGTAGAGGATTAGTTGAATAGGATTTGGTGCATTTATGCCATCTAATATTGTATAGTATTGTGTTTTTTCTTTTGTAGTTTTATTAAACTTTATTTGTGTGGATGTTTCTCCTCCCTGTATATATGTGCACCACTTGCATTTCTGGTGACCACAAGTCCCAGAGGATGGCATAGGATCCCTTGGGAGTCGAGTTACAGATGGCTGCCATGAGGATGCTTGGAACCAAACCTGGGTCCTCTGGAAAAACATCAAATGCTCTTTAATTAAAGTCAGGAAAGTGTTGCTGGCAAGGATGAGGACCAGAGTTTGATCCCCAGAACCCACATTAAAAAAAAAAAGTCAGATGTGGTGCCTCCTGCTTATCATGTCAGCATTGAGTAGGCAGAGATAGGTGGATGCCTTGAACTTGCTATGAGACATGATACCCAGGCTTGTCTTCTGGTCTCTGAATGTACATGTACACACACACACACACACACACACACACACACACACACACACACAGATACACATGTACATACATATAAAAATAGGTTTTAGAAAGCATGTATATAGTATAGCCCCAATGTTTTTAAAGAAGCATATATAGCTATATATAGACATTGATATATAGATTAAAGATGAAAGAAATATATCAAGGGTTTTTTTTTTGGTTGCATCATACATAGATTATATTTGTGTATGCGTCTTTTGGCACTTTGGTGATGGAGTATAGGTAGCCTAGATTTAAAACCCAGGTACTCCTACATACTGGCTGTGTGACTTTATAGAAATTACTGAACCCTTCTGTGCCTCATTGTAAAAATGAACTTGATGGTAAGAATCATACCTGTCTCCAGCGGTGATTGGAAAGAGTGACTAGATATGCAAAAGTGCTTAGAATAGTGCCTGGTTACAAGAACCCACTTTCTAAGCTTTTCTTGTTATTATTTCCAAATTTTGGCGAACAAGCAACTCAGAAGAACAATACAAGAGTTTTGTTTTAAACAAAGGCAAGGGGTCAGGTTCCAAGAAGTCCAACAAAAGAGAAAAGTAAATACCTTTTTGGAAGCCACTGATTCCCTTTGTCCCCAAAGCTAATCTGCAGGACAGAAATTGGGTCATTATCCTTGTAATTTACAGACCAAATTCACTTTGGTCAAATTACCGAGAAAATTAAAAGAAAGACAAAACTTGTAATGATCTCGAGGCGGCGGCGGCGGCGGGGGGCGCGGGGGGGGGGGGGGGCAGTGTTCTTTGAGATCTGAGTGGTCCTCCAGCTTGCTGGGTGGCCTTCTTCAGTGGGGGAGAGCATGCCAGTGGTGACCCAGAGCAGAGTGGGAGCAGGGTCCTTTGTGGCACCCGAGCTGGGTCTCAGACCACTGTAAATTCCACAGGCATTTCTGAACTGTGGACGAGCATTAAGGGGGGTGGGAGGCATTTCATGATTGTCAGGACGGTTACTTCACTTATCCTGTAATGACACCCCTGTGTACCAGCACCACACACTAAGTTCTGCTCTCAACAGTCTTGCACACTCTTTGACATCTCCCGAGACCCTGAGGACCCCACCGTGGAGACACACAGCGCAAAACTCACCATCCTGACCGCTTCTTATGCACTGTGCTGTGGTGTTAGGTACACACTGGTATTCTGCATGACCCATCTTCACATCTCTTTCACAATGCACCCACTAAACAGCAGCTTGTCCCTCGCCACAGCCCTCAATGTCCAGTCTTTATGCCTGTGACCCCCTCCCTGCAGGTAGACTGACAGCTTTGTCCCTTCAGGGCTGGCTTCGCTCACTTAGCAGAATGTCCTCGAGGCCAGTCCATGCTGCAGTGTGCAGCAGGCTTCCTTTCTTTTGGGAGGTTGAATACTCTTCCTGGTGTTCATGGACCACAGCTGGTTTATCTCCTTGTCTCTCTGTGGGAGTGTGGACTGCATCCACCTTCCAGCTGTTGTGTATAATGATGTTTTCAAAAGGACTGTCTTGGCACATTTTGGTGCTGCTATTACAGGAAGGGTTATAAACAACAGAAATTTATTTTGCAAGTTCTGGAGTCTGAGACATCCAAGATCAAGATATTGGCATATTTAATGTCTGATGTAACATCACCGTTCTACATGTGCCACATCACATCTGTTGGAGTCAGAAGACAACCTTTGGCATCAGTCCTCGCCTTCCTTCGTGTCTGAGATGGATTCTCTTTTGTTGTTTGTCTGCGTCAAGCCAGCGTCTCCCATCTCCTACTCCTTCTCCTGTACCAAGCAGACTTTTCCTTCTCCTCCTACACCATGTAGACGTCTCCTGTCTCCTCCTGTCTCCGTCTCCTACACCAAGTAGACTTCTTCTTTCCCACCTCCCATCTTGCTATAGGAACACAGGGATTCCAGGACCTGGGGATTTGACCTCAGGTCCTTGCAGTCACACCCAGAGACATTTCCCTAGTCCCTCAGGTCCAGTCACACTCTGCCTCAGTCTCCTCATGGTAGAAGTGCAGAAGCAGATCCCTAGGGTGTCTTTTGTAAGAGTGATTCTCGTCATGAGTGACCTAGTCACCTCCCCAAACCCTACTTCCTGGTACCATCCCTCAAGGATGTTAGAGATGGAGAAGCCCTACTCCTGAATGGCCTCCAGCCCCCGCCATGGCAGTGGTCTCCATCCCTGTGCTACTAAGGGAGAGAAACTCACATGGGCCCAGCAAGAGTGATCAGTCTTTTGATTCTTAATGGGAAGATAAGTGAAAGTAAAGTATACTCTCTAGAATGGAGGACAGGCCCAGCCAAGCCATGGCAGTCGGCCACCTCTACATCTGGACTTCCAATCCTTGACCGACTATTTCTCCAGTTAGCCACTCCTGGGGTGGCTTGGGGGTGATCTCTTCTCCAGAGTAGCTGAAGTCAGTACAGTCAACAGGTTTAATAGGAGAAAGGCCAGGGGTTGGGGATTTAGCTCAGTGGTAGAGCGCTTGCCTAGCAAGCGTAAGGCCCTGGGTTTGGTCCTCAGCTCCGGGATGGGGGGGGAGGGGAGAAAGGGCAATGTTGCATACTCCCTGTCTTACGGTTTCTATTGCTGTGATGAAACACCATGACCAAAGCAACTTGGGGAGGAAAGGGTTTATTCAACTTATGCCTCCACATCACTGGTTCATCATCCAAGGAAGTCAGGGCAGCTCTGTCAGGGCAGGAACCTGGAGGCAGGAGCTGACGCAGAGGCCATGGAGGACTGTGCTTACTGGCTTGCTCTCCATGGTTTTGCTCAGCCTGCTTTCTCACAGAATCTAGGACCACCAGCCCAGGGATGGCTCCACCCACAACAGGCTGCCCCCCCCCCCCCCCCCCATTGATCACTAATTAAGAAAATGTCCTACAGGCTTGAGTACAGCCAGATCTTATGGAGGTATTTTCTCAATTGAGGCTCCCTCCCCTCTGATGACTCTAGCTTGTGCCAAATTGACATAAAACCAGCCAGTACACTCCCCCAAAGAGGGCCTCTGTGCAGTCTGGCCAAGACTGGCTTTGTTGGTTTTCCCAGGGCAAGACTGGCTTTGTTGGTTTTCCCAGAGCCCTGGCTTTCGTCTTACGTGGTCTGCGTGGCTGTCTCAGACTCCACCAGCAAGCCCTCTTCTTTATCCTTTCGCCATGTTCCCGATGACGGTCCTGGTTGGTTTTTGTCAACGTGACACTAACCCAAACATACCTCGGGAGAAGAAGGAATCTTTAACTGAGAAATGCATCCATAAAACTGTCTCTGTAGGCGTGTCTATACATCCATCTGTATAGCATTTTCTTGACTGATGATTGAGAGGATTCAATCCACTGTGAGTGGTGCCGCCCCTAGGTGGTCCTGGATGGTATAAGACAGCAGGCTGAGTAAACCCTGAGGATCAAGCCAGTAAGCTGCCCACCTCCATGGATTCTGACTTCCCTCGGTGATGGATTGTGATGGGGAGCTGTAAGCTGGACTAAAGCCTTTCCCCCACATGTTGCTTTATCACAGCATTAGAAACCGTAACGAAGACACCAACCTCACTGTTTCAACCCTAACATTGGTTCGAAACCAACAAGGTCAGGTTTCTATGTATGACTTTGAGGAATACATGAACATTTGATCTCTCAATTTGTTATCCAGGTTTCTATTCTGGGCCCTGTTTTGAGTTCTTTTTGGTTTGTATCAAGTAAAATGTCATCTGGCTAGTCTAGGTTTATGTTTTCGAGGAACCGCTGTGCTGTCTTCCATGGTACCACAAGCAGGACCTGGCCCAGGGTCTGCAGGGAGGTTTAGCACTCATTTCATCCACACTAATGCCTTCTCTTTCTCTTGGTCACAGGCCAGTCCATCGTGGGCTGCAAGGCCATCCTCATCGATGACCAGGTCTTTGTGGTGGTGGCCCAGCTCTTCGGTGGCTCTCACATTTACAAATACGACGAGAGCTGGACCAAGTTTGTCAAATTCCAAGACATAGAAGTGTCTCGAATTTCTAAGCCCAATGACATCGAGCTGTTTGAGATTGACGACGAGACGTTCTTCATCATCGCCGACAGCTCGAAAGCAGGCCTGTCCACGGTTTACAAGTGGAACAGCAAAGGGTTCTACTCATACCAGTCTCTACATGAGTGGTTCCGGGACACAGATGCAGAGTTTGTTGACATCGACGGGAAGTCACACCTCATCCTGTCTAGCCGCTCCCAGGTCCCCATTATCCTGCAATGGAACAAAAGCTCCAAGAAGTTTGTCCCCCACGGTGACATCCCCAACATGGAGGATGTGCTGGCTGTGAAGAGCTTCCGGATGCAGAACACCCTCTACCTTTCGCTCACCCGGTTCATCGGGGACTCTCGGGTCATGAGATGGAACAGTAAGCAGTTTGTGGAGGTCCAAGCTCTCCCATCCCGGGGGGCCATGACCTTGCAGCCCTTCTCCTTCAAAGATAACCACTACCTGGCCCTGGGGAGTGACTACACCTTCTCACAGATATACCAGTGGGATAAAGAGAAACAGCAGTTTAAAAAGTTTAAAGAAATCTATGTGCAGGCTCCCCGGTCTTTCACAGCCGTCTCCACCGACAGGAGAGATTTCTTTTTTGCATCCAGTTTCAAAGGGAAGACAAAGATTTTTGAACATATCATTGTTGATTTAAGTTTGTGAAAGGTGCGATGGGGGGAGGGGGGTTTCAAAGATGAGTGTAGTGTTAGCTCTCACAAGAGAGAGAGGGACCAAGAAGAAATAAAATAAAGTAAACCAGGCTCGGAGCTCTGAAATTAAGATTCATAACGCATTGGGGAAATAGTTAGACATTTTCAAACTTTTAGGACTCACGTTTTAACCAGGGATTGCATTTATTTTGGCTGATTGCATGACAGACCCATGCTGCTGTTTAAATATGACATCTTAAAGCCTGTAATTTCTGAGAAAAGAGTACAGCATCTTACCAACTAGCAAGCAACATGCTGCTACTTTATTTTCAATAAGAAAGGAGAACACAGAGCAAGATGAGCCAGCCCTTTTAGTGAAAATTAAAAACAAAAACAAAAACAAACAAAAACCCCCTACCCCACTAAACCCACAGACCCTTCTCGTCTCATCTTGGCAGTCTTTCAGCTAAGAACGGTTAAAGCCAAAGTGAGCTGAAGAGATGTGCTGAGCGTTCGTTTGAATATCTCAGAACACTCGGCAGCGCTATTTTGAGCCACCCCAGTCTCCTGAAAGGCATGGCCAGTCTTCCAGAACCTTCCCTGGAGCAGAACCTTGGCTCTGCCCTCACTTGGATTGAGTGTCTTCACAGCTTAATGTTTGACATCGCTTCCTCTGCCACAGAGAAAATATTCTGGTGACACATGTCTAGGCCAGCATGGGCTGTGGGCCCAGCAGCAAGATAAAGAGGTTTCCCCTGTTTTTTGTTTTTTTTTTTTTTTTTTTTTTTTTTTTTTTTTTTTTTGTGTGTGTGTGTGTGTGTGTGTGTGTGTGTGTGTGTGTGATTCAAAGGTGACCCTTGAGGTGGCTGGAGCAATCATGTGTGTCTGATGTGCTCTGTTACTCACTTGCTTCTCTGAACCCATCGTTTTAGTTGGTGGGTAACTGGCAGACAGGCCAAAGGCGGGAACGGTGCTTTTCATCTGTCCGTTAGAAGGATGGAACAGGTGTTTCCATCTGATGCGCATTGGGGAGGGTTTTTGAAGTGAGATTTTACGGAGTCAGAGGGGACTTTACTCAGATCTTGATGTGCTTTGAGACTCAGAGGGGGCCCTTTGATTGATGCATGTCTTTGCCCTCTGGACAACTTAATATTTCAAGTAGTTGATTGAATAGAAACCTGCCCACCTGCCTCCCTTGCTCCTGGAACAGGGCTTTGTCCAGTTGTCGCTGTTACAGTGGCTGGTTTGTGCAACCCCACTGAAGTTTCTGCACATACAAAAGTCAAAATCACAGCTTGGATGCTGTCGACAGGGGCACACCCCCCTCTTCCAGCACACTAGGCAAAGGGAAGCATGGCCATGTGCTTGTGATGGGGTATCTGGTAGAGCATCAGGAGAGACCAGCTGGAGCCAGATAGACTTAATCTCATAGACCAGGTCTGTGCTTGGGACCAGGTGGCCTATTTCAAAATAGGCCTCCAGTGGGGACAGCAGGGGAGCTCTTGGGGTCTGGTTTTGTAGATGGTTCCACGGTGGATTTCTGTCTAAGAAGCTAGTTCTCTTTGAGAATATAAAGCAGATGTTTTTTAGGGGAGCGTCTTGCAGAGTAACTCACTGTATCTCTTCTAGCTGTGAAGGTAGCACAGACCCACTGCAGTGTGCTGTGGGGTTTTAATGGTCATCACCACACTGTATGTAGGTAGAGGGTCTGTCAGAAATGTGAACGCGTCTGTTCTTTCCTGTAAGCAGCGGGGACTGATCAATACGCCACACTGGCGAGCTATGCTTTGACGATCATCAGCATCCCTGGCTGATGTTCCCAGCCTAGGGGAGCAAGGACTTTAATGAGCCCTGTCAATCACGTTCTGTAGTGTGGTTGCTTGGAACTTTGGTGCTAAATGCCAAGCAAACAGAAAGAGTGGTCTGTTTTAATTTTTAAGCACAAATTACTCTTTCTTTGCATCCTTTTGTCTTCTTGGTTCATTTAATTTGACCACGAGTTCCCAGCTCTCCATGTTGGAGGCCGAAAGTTCGATGTTTCTGCTTTTCCTTCCCCTGGAGAACAACTGAGCCATGCTCCTTCCCCAATCCCCCATGCATGGGTTCCCCAGACAGCCTTCTAGCACTGATGCCAGGTAGAAAGAACACTCTTGTTTCCTGCTGCTCCTAGAGGAACCCACAGGGGCATCTCTCAGAGTGCTACCTCCACAGAGCCTTGTACCAGCTGTTCTGTGCTCCCTCACAGAGTGAAGTCCAGGGACTTGATGTGGCTGTTGCTTAGAGTTTGGAAAGTCAAGACACTCAGGGTTTGTGCTTGGGGTGGGGGGCTTCGTCACACCCAGATGAAGCATTTGAGTAGCAAAAGAGGTCCCTAGTAGGGTAGGTGGTGGGGCTGGGATATGAGAGGACTGCCAGTCCTCTCAGCTGCAAGTCAAGTTTCCTTTTTCTTTAAAAATAAGTTTCTAAAGCCTGGAGTCTGCAGTCTTCTGAGTTCTGCGCTGTGCAGGGAGATATTTGTTCTGGCCAGCACAGCGAAGGAGCAGAGATGTTCTTGGCAGAAGGTGGGGGAGCTTTGCTTCATTAATCTTACTGCTCTCTCCCAAGAATCCCTGAAGTTTTAAGCAATTTCTGCAAAAGCCTTTCGTCCTGTAATGATGTAAAATAACAAAACCCACCCACGCAACCGTGACCAAAGTCCAAGGTGGAGAAATGCACAGGACTGTCCAGCTGAGGGGGATTGCTCCCTCCTTCCCTCTCCCCGTGACTTCCCTCTCCTTTCTTTCCTTCCCATCAGCCATACACTGTCATCTGCTTGTCTGTGTGGTCTCTGCACCTGGGTTCCTAGGCTGATCCAATCAGTCGTCATGTGGCTCTCAGGCCATAACCTGAAAGCGAGGGTGAGTCCTCAGACTCTGTAAGATCGGTTGTAGCTCTCTCCAAAGACTAAAAATAAACCTTTGGGCTGACAAGCACTTTGTTCTTGGACTGCGGATAAGAGCAGCCCGCATTCCGGAAGCTTTATTTCCCGGCCCTGTACATCTATGTCCCTCTCATGTGTCGTATGTAACTCTTTGGTTTACAGAGGGCAGGTGTTATCCTAAGGTCAAAGGGAAGGGAATAGACACAGAGCCGAAGTGGATGGCCTGCCTGCGATGATCCAGTTTTAAGCAGCAAAGCTAGAACTTCCCCTTGGACTGCAGGTGCTGCATTTTCTCTCTCTAACGCTCTGCTGTGCCCACCCAAAGACAGACACTGTTGCCATGACAGTGAAGACAGCAATTCTTGTAGATTAAGTAAAAGTACAAAGCAGGATGAAGAGCCAGGAGGAAAGACGTGCCTGACAGACAACATTCAATCATCGGTACCATTGAACAATTAACAAACACCCCAGAACTGTGTGACATGCCCAGCCAGGCTTGAGAAAGCCTTCCAGAAACGTTGGATAGCTTCAGTTGTCTAGAGAGGGTTTCTAGCAGGCACGACTGTGTCTCCTCCCACAATCCCATTACAGGAATGCTGAGGCTGGACACATCTGGTTCCTGTCACGATGTCCACCAGATAAGATGAGTTCTGCGAGCGAGAAATTAAAAACCCAAATGCAGGAGCGATGATGAATTGCTCTGGGGCCCTCTCCAGCCTTTGGGGAGCTCACAGAGAGAGACAGTGTTGTGTTCTTCCTGCGGAGTGAGGCTGCCATGTTTTTAGGAAAGAAATCAGTGTGAGATGCTGGAAGTTGGGCTGCTCATGATGGAAATTTCTCTGGCTGGGGGCGGGGGGGGGGGGGGCCGGGGGCGCGGTGTCCCATGCGAGCCAGACGAATGTCTGTGGGAGGGGCTTCTGTTTGCTTGCCACCTAAAGGAAACCTCCAGCCCGCGTCCGGATTGTTCTGCAGAAGAGTCAGTCCTTGTGTGAAGCTTTGGAAGGAAGTTACCTCATTAGGCAGTGCCGAGGATTTTGTTCGACAGTGCGCTAGAGCAGAATCAGCAGTCTAGCTGCAGGTGATGTAAGCAAGGTGGTTCCCATCTGGGGCACCATGGAAAAATGGGGAGGAACGCAGGGCAGACGGCCATGGAGCATATGCTTTGGGGCAAGTGGGAATAAGCTTGAAAGGAAAGAAAAGAGCAATCATAATTTCTGTTCCTTAGCAGAGGGTAGAATGACCAGGCTCATCAACAGCATGCCAATAACTGAACAGCATCCTTTGTGATGCTGATTCAGATAACAATGACATCATCTGGCCACTGAGCTCTCAGCCCAGGCACTCTGCCCCTTACCCTAGCTCATCGCTTGTGCCAGCAGCCACCTCTTTCTAGTGGGAAACTATGCATTCCCTCTCCAACCCCTTGACTATCAGGAATGTACGAGAACTGTGATAAAATAGGCCACTATGCCATTTGGTACTGTTTTTATGTATTTTAAATGTACAACTTAGGTGAAATAATACTTTATATGTATATGGAAGTAAGTTTTACAGTAGTCTGACAATGATGGATGTGTTTTGAAGCTGTAGATATACTTAGCTCTTTTTGGAAAATAGATTCAACACATGATATGCCTCTTAATTCTATATATTCTGTAATCCTGTGAATAAAAAGTAGCAAATGCCTAACACAGCTTTGATCTCTGGTCTGTTTAAAAATGGAAGTGTCCACTTGAGTCACAGCTGAAGGGTGCTGCGGAGAGCTGATTTGGTTTGGGAGGATGGAAATACCTTTGCGGCTTCCTTGCTGTTTAAGTGGAAGACGGGTGCCATGGGATGTCCCTTTGTTTTTTTCACCTGAAACCAAGAATTCATTTAAAAGTCACTAAAAACCACTGAAGAACTTGCCCAGTATATGTCTACTTGGTCTGCGGACCCAGAAACCTGGTGGGTGGGCTACAAGTTCTAGGAATCCCTGAGGAGCTTGTGATTATCTGTTACCGATTATTATCTGATTATCGATAGAAGGGGGGATGTCTAAATCTTGCTGAATTCCTTGAGGGAGGGACCTTGGTCCCTCTGCATGTCTAAAAATCTAACCAGCACATAGTAGGTCTACAGCCCATGCTTGTCACGTGTTCCTTAACCTAAGACCCATTGGTTTATCTGGACAAAGGAAAGGTCAAGATCCTAATTCATATAACTGTGGCAATACCTACTGTGTGCAGAGCACTCTGATGTGTTATGGGCTCCTTATAAATACCTACTGTGGGGGCTGGAGAGATGGCTCAGAGGTTAAGAGCACTGGCTACTCTTCCAGAGGTCCTGAATTCAATTCCCAGCAACCACGTGGTGGCTCACAACCATCTACAATGAGATGTGGTGCCCTCTTCTGGCCTGCAGGCTGAACACTCACTGTATACATGATAAATAAATAAAATCCTTTAAAAAATCATTAATAATCATTAAAAAAATACCTACTGTGTGCAGAGCACTCTGATGTGTTATGGGCTCCTTATAAATTGCTCAGGTAGGTACAATTATCCATCATAGAGGGCTGTGTGACTAGTTGAGCAATAAAAACAGTCATTAAGGTCAAAATTAGACAACTAATGACTGCTCAGGCAATGACAGTACTGGCTTTCTAATTTTACAACTGTATCCCATTCCCAGGGGCAGGAGCCCAGGCATGGCGTAGCTCGTGCCTTTCCTCAAGGTCTCCCAAGACCTCCTGGAGGGCCAGCTTGTTCACATTATTTGTAGAATTTATCTTCTTGTGACTGTGATGGGGGAATCCCCACCTCCTTGCTGGCCATTGGTTGGAGGCCTCTTTCAGCATCTAGAGCCCACCTATGTCTTTCCCCTTCTCCATTGGTCCTCAGCCCTACAGCTGGTGGCTTCTTCAGGTCATCTGGAGCTCCAGAAGAGAAAATCCATCACTTTGGCCTGGTTCTCTGGCTTTGAGGCAGGTCATGGATTCCACTCTCACCCCTTGAAGGGCCCTCCGAGGACACGGTTTATGGGAACTGAGAAGTCACCCTAAAATGTCTCCTTTCTAGATCAGATGCCCCACTCATCAGAACCAGCCCCAACCATCAACAGCCATCACTCAGACCCAGGGCAACAGGAACTGTACATATAAGAGAATCGATTCTTAGGGGAAAGGTCACTGTGGGCCATAGGAAATACGTTTTTGACCAGTAGACACAGGAAAAGCATCTGGGGCTTTGCATTCTGATTTTGCTCGTAAGTCATTGTTTCATAAAGAAAAGAAGTAAAAACCCACAAGCCTGCAATCCTGAAACTCATTAAGCTAGAGGCGCATTCTAACACCCTGGTGTGGTTGGTCTTGGATAGCAAGAGCTCTTTGAGGTTCTGCAACCCGAGAGAGGCAAGAATACTTCCTTCCTCTATTTCTCAGAGCACTAATTGAAGTCGGTGAAGACTTGGAGCCTCGAGTAACATGTCAGCTTCACCGATCAATTGGCTTGTATCTGCCTCCCAGACAGGATATCCCTTTACTAACCAGGGTCTAATGGGCACAAATGACTAAAAAAAAACCCAACAAATTGGTAGCAGAGGTGATCCTGAAGGCCTCCAACAAACCCTACCTCCTGGCCTCTGCTCCAGGCAGTCTCTCCTTAAGTGTGAGCTTCTGGTCCAGCCTGGAGTCAGACAGCAAACCAGGCAAGGAGGCCGCTGAAGGTGAAAGGCTTCCTCTGGAGGCAGCCTAGCAACTGCTGCCTTCTACAGATGCTCCCGAATTTCCTGTCCAGACCTCTGGGTGTCCAATCCAGGAGACTTCCACCAGACAGGAAGTAAAGGACAGCTTTCCCTCAGGGCAGGAGGAGAAAGTTTAGCTCACCACATCAAGACCGTCATTGCGCTCACCCCTCAAGATAGCACAGAGCTCAGAGCCCTGTCTTCAGCTCCAGGTTGGGTGAGAGGTAGCCACTTCAGCCAACCCTGTTTGCTCAGAGAGGGTATTGTAGCCTTTGACTCCAACGAAAACAGGGGAAGGGCTGCAGTTAAAGTGGCACTCTGAACACTTGTCCCGGCCAAGGCTTCCACATTCGTTTCCTTTCAATCTTCCATGAATTCTGGACACATCGCCATTCCATAAGATTTGTTTAATTTGTTTAAATTTCAACTTTACACCCTTTCCAGTCCCTTTACATTATACCGCACATCAGATCCTAAGTCACATGAAATCCTCTTGTTCATTGGATTCTCTCTAGCTAATTCTCTCATGTTTCCATCCTCTTCAAACTCTGTACATCAACACTGTTCATGCCCAACCTCTTCTCCTTTCTCCACGTCCATCTCCCTCAGCAGGTGAAAGGGGGGGTGGGGTGGGGATGCCCTAAGGCAGCTAATAGTCTTGTATTGACTTCTATTGTCACTTGGCCTTTGCTTCCCTCCTCTATGCCGTTCTACTTGACATTCTCCCAATGTCTCCATGTTCTTCCCATCATGGGGTGGGGCCTGAATTCTCACCCTGGGGTGTGAGCTGTACTTGGAGACTTGCTTCTAGGGTAAAAATGTAACAGAAGGGTTAAACATTTATAAGAATAGGCACTTTCTGTTTGTTTGTGTTTGAGACAAGGTCTCTTGATGCGGTGCTGACAGGCCTGAAACTTGCTATGTAGATCAGGCTAGACTAGAACTGACAGTGATCTGCTTTCCTCTGCCTCTCAAGAGAAGAGGTCTTAAAATGCACTGGGTGTCTTTTCATCTCCGGGATCACTCTCTCTGAGGAAGGTCTGCTATGTGAGCCCCTCCAGCAGTCTATCGGGGAGCCCATGGGAGAAACGGGCTTCTCATCAACAGCTAATATAGTCCTGACAACCTCGCCAAGCCTTGGGATGACCACAGATCTGGCTGCCATCTTGAACGTCACCTCCCTGTGCCATGAAGCCACTGAATGATTCCTAGCTCACAAACAATGTGAGATTTGAATGTTTTTTGTTTGTTTGAGATGGTTTTTCTGTGTAGTCTTGGCTGTCCTGGAACTTGCTTTGTAGACCAGGCTGAGCTTGAACTCACAGAGATCTGCCTGCTTTTGCCTCCTGAGTGCTGGAATTAAAGGTGTATGCCATCACCGCCTGGTGAGTGCTTATTGTTTTAAAACTGTTGAGTTTGGGTGAAGTTTGGAACAAATCAAAGGGTAATATATTCCCTTTTTATTGTCTTATAGGATGAAGTCACTGTAGATGGACTCATTACTTTGAGAAGGGTTAGGAACCAACATATACATGCCCCACCACTGAGAGATGCATTTTCTATAAATAACTTAAACTCAGGCTGGCATGTGTCACCTCTGTTTGCTCTTTCTTAATCAGGCAAGTCTAGTGGTCTCTATTGGATGTTGTAAGCACCTGATTGGATGATGTTTGTCCACCTCTTGACTACTGCTATGCTACGTACTTAAGCTCACTCATTTGAAACCGAAGGTATGGCTACCACACAACATTCTCTGGACCTTAGAGAATAGCATCCCTGTCAGCTCCTGGGATTTGAGATCACCTTGTCCTAACCCACATATTCACCTGAGTGCTGCACCTTTTGAAAAGCAGGGAAAATGCCTGAACAGCACCTTTTTGGGCAGTAAGGATCATACTGTGGATTTGTAATGCTCCCCCCGGTGCAGACTTGCCGAAAGGTTAGCAGAAATTCTTACTCCATACAGGAGTCCAGAGAGGCCAGGCTGAGGCAAGCATCTCCATGCCCAGTTTCCTGCTCCTAAGTCACCCAGCTCACCGTGTAGAAACTGGAGAGAGCAAGGCCCCAAGGAGGCTGCCAGGCGCCTCACGGCTAGGCTTCCACCATGGGGAAAGAATCCTATGAAGTAGGAGCAAAACCTTTTCCACCAAGGTCAGTTGTCAAGTATGTCCTCTTCTGAGGACAAGACAACACTCTGGTGTCCCTGAGAAGCTCGAGAGCCTGGCTCCCCATCTCCTGATTCCATTTGCAAGTTCTGCCCAGCGACCAGGGCATCTATTTTTACCCTGTTGGAGAAGATCTTTTTCCTCTGAAGCAGGTTAGGGAAGGAGACCTGTTTGTTAAGGAAGGACGCGTCTGCAGTGCGGGTGACCAGGGTTGCGATGGGAACCAGGCCGAGGCAAAGAGACGGGAACCAATCTCCTCGCCACCCCTCCCGGCTCACCAGTTTACTGCGATCAGATTTTCACATCGCAACGTCCTGAGGACCGTGAACTACAGTGTCATCCGGGGTCCTGAAAGAAGCTGGCCACTTCTCACATAGAAAGTGAGGAGTGTCTGGTGATTCGTATGTCCAGCTGAGTGGAGTATCTGCTCTACTCACTGAAAATGCAGCTCCCCATGGCCTCGCCATCTGCATTTACGGTGGCACACACTGCTGAGGTGGCTTTCCCTCCCTCTGCAGGCCAGCCATTTGCATCTTCTGTCACAGTAAATAACCCCAACAGAACCTCCCATATGTAGGTTCTAGCCCAGGCTCCTTCTAGCCCAGGAATCCCAGACAATGATTTATAGTCCTGACCGCTCAGAGGAAGGGAAAGTGAATGAGAGCAGATTCAGCAAAGCTGTTGTAGGGGTGGTGGTGGGGGAGCTGGGGCAGGAGGGACTGCTGGCTGCAGAGCTGGGCCTGGTAGGCTCCCACTACCCCTCTAGCAGGCCTCTGGCCATGTGGGTACAGAGAGGGATGG